AAAAATAAATAAATAAATTCATTACTTATTTTATCTAGTGCTAAATATTGTTTTTATTTGTATATTAAGATTAATATATTTTTTGCATAAAATGACTATGTTTTAATATCCCAGCATTTTTGATGCAAAAACAGCAACTTGCCTAATTAAAACTGTCAGAGGAACACAGAGAAAAAGGAGACACACACATACATCTTGCTATCTTTGTGAGGATATCACACACACTCAACCTGCCTCAGTCTGTGCCCGTTTTTAACAACGGGCAAAAAATGCATTTAAAACAGCTGACAACTTTATAGCAGAGTTTGAATTGTACACCAAAGAAAACCTGCATCACGACTTTTATATTGCAGTCAGAACAAACGTGATATGAGCGGAGTCTGCCTGGTTCACATGTTCATGGTGGACGGCAGCACTCGCTCGAACGTAACAGCGAGAAAAGGCCAAGAGCTTTTTATTTTAATCCTGCAGGGAGAACAATACAGGTGTTCTTCTATGCTTCCTGTGAGCAGCTCCAGCATTTAAAAAAAACACAAAAAAAACAAGGTGGACACGCAAATTACTGCCGAGGCAGGGAGGAGGTGAAAGTGAAACAAACATGGCGCTCCCGACCCGTTCAAAAATGAAACTTAAACACACAGCTCTTCTGTCCCCCTTATATTCCGACACAGAGGGCAGAAACAGCTAAATTAGACAGTTAAAACACATTAAAAGTTCATAACTCACCCTATTGTTGTTGACACTCGGTCTCACAACATTAGCAGCAGCTCTCTCCCCGAAGGAGGGGGCAAACACATGCGCTCGCATGATCCAAAGAATGGATCGGCCGAACGGACGGACGTATCGGCCGATACCAATACAAGGAAAAAACGCAAATATCGGCCAAAAATATCGGCCGGCCGATGTATCGGTCGACCCCTAGAATTAAGTTTAGGTTAGTTTTAGGCTCAGGTAGATAGATACCTGTAAGGTTAATTAAGGCTATAAAATTACCAAGAAATGAATGGAAGTCAATCCACAGTCCCCACGGGGGGATATAAACAAACCTGTGTGTGTTCATTGGTCTGTAGCATTTCCAAACTGTCTTATGAGCCATAGGATAGATTTTAATAAAACTTGCAGAAAGTAATCATTAGATGTAYGTCTACAATTGATTAGCTTTTAGAGAACGTGTCAAACTCAAGGCCCATGGGCCAAATCCAGCCCTCGTTAACATTTTATCAGGCCCCAAAGGTAATGCTTTAAATTTCTCTATTTGACACTGTACTCAGTCTTCTCTCAACAGTTAGTAGTCGACTTTAATTATGTGTTCTCTTCTATTTTTAAAGTCAAATATTTGTATTTTTACTGAAGGTTTTCTTTTTTTAAAACTGAATTGCTGGATTGTGATACAATGTATCTCTTAGAAATAGTCAATGAAAAGTTGTGAGCAGAGGCTAATGATGTGTTTTTCTAAATTTGATCCTTTCTCTTTATTTGTTAGGGAATGTGTGTACTAAATTCTACATAAAATATAGCATAAAACAATATTTTTTCTAGAAATTACAGAAAGTGGCCCTTGTCTTGGACCAAGTTTTGAATTTTGGACCCCTTGTGTAACAGAATTTGACACCCCTGTTTTAGAGTCTGCCTTAGTCAAGATGGTCAGCTAATCTTGGGAAATGTTGCAGTGGTCAGTCAGTGCATGGGTTTGCACATAATACATAATTCTGTTTTCAAGATTTGGCCAAAATTACTAAAATTGTCATGAGCAGGCGATATACATTTCTTCAAGAAATGTTTTACCAATAATTTTGTCTCAGGACTCCCTAGAAAAACAGGTTTTAATCTTAATAGGACTTTCCTGGTTAAATAAAAGTTAAATAATTTTAAAAAAATTGTGCGTGTACTAAATGTCATATTCATCCTACAGGTAAAAACTGGGACCTCAGTGCTGCTTTGAATGATTACGAGGAGCTCCGGCAGGTCCACACTGCCAACCTGCCGCAGGTCTTTAACGAGGGCCGCTACTACAAGCAGCCGGAGACTCGCGACACGCCCACCCACGTCAACAAGATCGACAGGCCGTGTGCGCAGAAGCAGGAGGACAATGCACAAGGTAGGCAAAAGGCTGGCTCGTCGAGCGCAGCTTTCTCTTGAATCTCTGCTTTCAGCTCATCCAACCCAATTCCCCCTCGTGCGCCGTTGCAGAGAAGCGTCTGTCCCGCGGGATCTCCCATGCCAGCTCTGCTATCGTCTCCCTGGCACGGCTGCAGGTGGCCAATGAGTGTACCAGCGAGCAGTTCCCGCTAGAGGTGCCCATTTATACATTCCAGCTCCCCGACCTCAGCGTCTACAGCGAGGACTTCAGGAGCTTCATCGAGAGAGATCTGATCGAGCAGTCCACCATGATGGCTCTGGAGCAGGCTGGTGAGTAATTTAAGATGTACTAAATACATTTCTAGTACTTCCYCTGCAGCTTTATGTAAACTATGTAAGAAAATCCCATGCACTCAMCCTCGTCACCTCTTTAGATTGCACTAAAAAGCTGGAGCTGCTCAGAGCTGCACTAACAGGAAATGCCAGTAAGAGTCGATAATGCAGACAGATGCTCAGGATGAGCCAGATTCAGGGAGACAGATCAGATCAGAGCAGCACCATTTGGAAGGCAGACGACAACAACTAATTCAAAGCAACCCGGATCCCGGAGGATCCACGTCCCAGCTGACAATTCCAGCTGAAGCAGAGAATCTAGTTAGTAAAGTTTTAAGGAAACTCCCATGCCTGTCTTACCTCACTCACTTTGATCAAGGTCTTGGAAACAGACAACCTGGATTATGGTTGCGTRAACGCTGAGTCAGCATTCACAATGTTGTTGTCCTGTTTTTGTAGTTTGTATTATTTTTTTTATTTTTGCACGTTTATGCAATACAACTAAGCCTGCATATTTTGTGCTGTTTTAGCCATCTGTATATCAAAACATTCAGTTCATTTAAGAGATGGGCAGTATGATTTTAAGTTTTATTGTTTAAAATATWTAACTTTATTTACAAACATTTTCCCAATAGAAATACATTAGTATCTCTTGGAAAACATTGTTTTATTAGAAATCTGCTCCAGCATACTGGTTTTGTTTTGTTCTCTTATGCCACTTTTAGTTTGTAGCTAACATTMGTCTGCTTTTAGCTTTTAGCTAGCRTTTTGTTTTTTATGTAGCTAGTGTTTYGCTCCTTTTAGYTAGTGTTTGGCTTCTTTAAGATTTTAGYCAACCTTTTCTTACTTTTAGATTCTAACTCATCTTTTGATGTATTTAGCTRGCATTTTGYTACTTTTAGCTTTTAATGAGCTTTTCCTCATTTTAACTTATAACTACCCTACTGCTACTTTTGGCATTCAGCTARCCTTTTCTACATTTAGCATTTAGCTCAATTCAAGTCTATCCAAAAARTACTTTTATTGATCCCAAAGGGAAATTACWGCTAAATTAGCTTTAAGTTMATATTTTGCTTCTTTTATCTTTAACTCAGTTTCATCTTTTTCARCAAAATCATTCAACACTTAGTGTTCACATTGCCTTTTCACAGATTATTCAATTTCTATAGCGGGGTTAATTATTTATAATTAGATAAATAAAGGAGAAATGTTTTTTAAAGGGTATAGCTGTTAAAGTTTATATAGCTGTATTTGAAATGTGTCTAATGATTTACAGTTCTGAAAGTTTTACCCTGAAAAGCTACAGTGAACAAATACATCTTATTGTTGATGTTTGTATGATTCAACCTGAGCCCTAACTTCCAGACAGCACTGACAGTAAAAATCAGTAAGAAGTCARAATATTTCAGATTTACCAAAAGCTAACTCACAAACCTCACAAGACCAAAGTGAAATGAAGAACTGCAGATTCAGGAAACATCTGCATTTTGATTGCACCTACGCTGAAGGCTAAATCATTCAGAGGCTCCTCTGTGTTTACTGTTGGTAAATAAATGATGTGTGCAGAGCTGTGAAACATCGGTGGGTCTCAGGAAACCGAGCAGGGCACTGAAGCTACAGAAAATAAAGAATTCTGAAAAAGTTGGGCTGAGGTAGATCATATAGTCTTTTTTGTAAGAGTTACCTGTATTTTTATACTTTAAGTTTATCAGATCAGCTGTGCATGTTGACTGTAGTTCTTGATAGACAGGTTTCTGTCGCAGTGGTACTTTAACGTGAATATTTCCTTAGCTCAAAAAGTAAGGACATTAGTGTTTGGCAGGTTATGTATTTGTTGTAACAATGCTTCTTGGCAATAAATCTTATACMGTTGGACAGCCTGGTAATTTCCCATTTAAATGGTGACACACTTGTAAGATTTACTCGCAAGAGATTCATTGTTACAACAAAGAAATAATCTACCAAACATGTTTCCTTACTTTTTGGGCTAACTTTAGATCAGATGGACCAAAGTAAGATTTACTAGTATAATATAACAACTTCAGATTTGATTGCTAATGATATTTGTTGTGTTCAGGACGTCTGAACTGGTGGTCCACTACATGCACCAGTTGTAAGAAGCTACTTCCTCTGGCCACCACCGGGGATGGGAACTGCCTTCTGCATGCTGCCTCTTTAGGTAAGGTTTTTTTAAGCTATAATTTTTTATGTAATTTGGTCTCTCTTATAAAACAGCACATTTTTTTACTAAGATGAGGTACAAATGGAAGGTTTTTTTTTTTGCTAAAAAGACATAAAGGCTTTTACCTCACCAGTATACTGTATGTCAGGAGGATATTTTAGGTTGAAGAGATGAGAGCTGTTCAGGTTTATGATGACCGGGATTCTGGGCTCCCCAGTGTGGGGCCTGCCAGAGCAGCTGAATACTAGCACCGCTACAGTTAATATAATCCACAATGACAGTCCCTGTCTGAGGAAGACATTTTGAGTTAGAGCTGAGGTCAACTCTGAATGACACCAAGAATAATCCAAACTCATCTAAGATCCACATCATACTTTCTCAGTCAGCTGTGTGCAGACTTGTCATGTTGTGTGTGTGTGTGTGTGTGTGTGTTTGTTAGGGATGTGGGGCTTTCACGACAGAGACCTGATGCTGCGGAAGTCTCTGTACACCATGATGAAGAGCGGAGCGGAGCAAGACGCACTGAAGAGGAGGTGGAGGTGGCAGCAGACGCAGCAGAACAAGGAGGTCGGCAGAAAGTGTTGCACGCCGCAGAACACCACTTTTCACAAGCAACACTTCATTATGAGCGTGTGAACAGACGAGCCACTCAAAAGCCTCGGCTATTAGCTGCCGAGTTTAACCTAAGCTGCACTTCTTAGATTTGTTTTGCTGCAAGGAACGTTGTCACTCTAGCTCTGTAGCGACGCTGCTAATGCTGTCAAATCCTCCCTTTTCCGTCTCCTGATGTCCTGACTGATGTTGGATTAAAGTATTTTCAAATCTGTTAGGAAAAGTGTGTCGCCAAAGATAGCTGGGGCGGAGAAATAGTCCAGATGCTCATCTTTTAAAAATGCCCGAGGCGTCTTGTTGGCCCAGTGATCTAAGATGGGTCCCACAAAACTCAGCGTTCTGGTTTGAGGGTGGAGGAGAAAACGTTGTTGAGCACAGTCATTTTTTCTACCAACAAAGGGGAGATCACGTTTGTGCCTATCTGTGTTTCTTAAAGGGGGGATGGTATTTTGTGTCTTCCAGGCAGATCAGTTCTATAACACAATCAACATCACTTTCAGTTGTTATGAAATTGCTGTATATATCAAAAATAAGTTGGTCTAAAAGCCTTGAAATTGGCCTCTGTCTCTTTAAGTGTTTTGGACCCGCCCCCTTCAGCCTGTCTTCACAGCAGTAGCTATGTTTACATGTACATAAGTAATCAGAAGAAACAGCCAATCAGAATAAAAATTCACCATGTAAACAGCCCCAATCGGAATAACCCCCTTAAAGAAATACTAGGCTTTTAATTGCTCTATTTGTGACTCAGTTGTGATTGTGTAGCTGGAAGTTTGCCGCAGTTTAAATTGGTGGAGTGTGTTTTCTGTGCAGTCGGGGCTGGTGTACACCGAGGAGGAGTGGGAACGAGAGTGGAGCGAGCTGCTGAAGTTGGCCTCCAGTGAGCCTCGAACCCACCTCAGCAAAGCTGGGAACACCAGCGGAGGGTAGGAGCGCCAACTCACCAATAAACACACAAGCAGACCCACAATCTAACACTCCTTCCTTTTTTAGCATGGTATTATTTCCACTCTCACACTGCTTCCTATTTGCCAAACGAGCAATGTGAAACTGCGCCCTCTACTGGAAAACCCTGAACACTTTCTCCTCTCAGATCCCCCCCCCCTCCCCATGAGCTGTGTGTTACTGTTAGCTGCAGCAAGTTGCATAAATAARTGTAAGCGTGGCTTCTTCTTTTTTTTCTTCTCATGCAACAGAGGCAGACTGGAAACTAGCTTTGGTTTTCTTCGCCTACACAGAAAAAAAACCTTGTGGTTTGTCACTGTTTCCATAATCACTGAAATAAACATATGGTCTCACATGCTTTCAGTGTTAGCTGCAGATCTGCTGGAGTAAAAAGCATATGTGTGATTCAAAAGAAAGTTTTCTGCTGAGAATGAAATGCAATAAACATAKCGAGACATATTGTGCAGATTTTTCAAAGAAACCAGCTTTTTTTAAGATGAAAGGGCAGCTGAGTGATATTTTGGCTTAGAAATGTCMGAAAACATTTCAGTAAAATGTCAGGAAATAAGAACCTAATAAGTCATATTTAAGTAGAGTTTTAAAGCAGTCAGACACTAATTTTAGCCTATAAAACAAACATAACAGCCGGCAACTCCTCCGCAACAACAACCCGATTACTTCTTAATGATTATCAGTGCCGACTGCAGGGGAAAGCCCTCCATCACTGAAAATGTCCCTTCCAAGAGAGTAATTTACCCRTTTATTCTGGAGCTTTTCACCTCTCATTGAGTTTCACAGTAATAAAGTAATAAGGTTAGGGCTGTTTTATGGTCCTGGTGTGAGATGAGCCTCTGAATGGGCTGAGTGGGATTCACATATTAAGAGGCTCTTTATTAGAAGCAATCCCGGCTGTTTGTGTGGCTGACAACTTAATTGTTGCACATCCTCCGACTCCCTGGTGGTTGAGAGCTACGCCTGTAATTGTTTTTTTATTTTTCTCTCTTCTGGCTTGAAGCGAATCAGTTACATCAGACACATGCRTGTAGTAAACAGGAAGTAAAAGTCACATCTCAGGAAAATGGAGAGAAGTTGTCAGGAACGTGTTGCGACTGTCGGGAAAGTTGTACTTATTCTGTCATATCAACTAGTTTTGGCGATGTTACATGTTGTCTGGAGACATAGAGAAAGAATTGCAATTCTTTTCACGTTATGGGAATAACTGAGAATAGGCTGACAGCGGGAGGAGGGTCCAGCTGCAGTCGCTCTGGTACCGGTGTTGTGCGAAATTCAGTTCCCCTGTGAAAATCTGTTCCCCCTAGTGGTTAACCTTAGAGAGAATCACTGGTCCAGACATAACGTCAGACCAATCCTAAATGGTTAATATGAGGGAGGCGCTTCCAACACAGGGGGAACAGATTTTCACAGGGGAGCTGAATTTCGTACAACACCGGTACCGGTTTCGGACAGACAGTGGGAACAGCTAATCAACCATGTCAGAACTTATTCGACAAATGTGTTTCCATCTCTCCTTTTGCACATTGTCTTTTTCGAAAAAAACAAAAAACCACCTCAAGCGAGCGTATCAACTTTTATGCGAATTAGAGGAAGTTTTTTCAAATCATGCTGTTTCCATTCACCTTTTCTGATGCGATACTTCAAATGCACATTAAAAAAAACGTTGATGGAAACACGGCTAGTGTCCCCCCTTCTTCGCTTTTTCCCTCTGTTTTCTGTTTTCTTTCATTCAGAARCAGGTGAAAATGATGTACAACGTTGTCCTGACTGTTAAAGGTTGTCGAAGGAGAAAGYTGTGTGATTACACAGATAAAATAGGCTCAGGAATAATGTGGAGATTTGTTGTGCCTTMRTTTGTGTGTGTTGTGTTTTCTCAGGGTGGATAACTCGGAGGATCCAGTGTATGAGAGTTTGGAGGAGTTCCATGTGTTTGTGCTGGCCCATGTGCTGCGCAGGCCGATTGTAGTGGTGGCCGACACCATGCTCAGAGACTCAGGAGGAGAAGGTACACAATCTGCATTTAGTCTGAGTTTATCTTCATCCCAAACCCATGCATCTTAACTCTTTAGGGTTGTTTGTGACCTTCACGTGGTGGTTTGAGTCTCCMGAGTCTTTCTATTATGTAGGGTGATGTAGATTGTAAAAAAAATATAGGAAACGATTTTGAAAAAACATAGGGTTGCAGTGTTTTGTCCTTAAATATATGATTCTGTTCCAGTAACCACTGTATTGGTCACTTGTATGTGAAATGTCTGTTTGGTAGATGATTTCTTTGTTGTAACAATGCTTCTTGGCAGTAAATCTTATAGCGGACACCTGATTGGCAACAACTAAAGGGCAACTGAAGCAGTAGACCTACGTCTACTGCTCATCCCACAAATGCATKTTCCTTACAAATGTGTTACTATTTAAAAGGAAAATTAACAGGCTTTCCAAATATATAAGATTTATTGCCAAGARGTATTGTTACAACAAAGAAATAATCTACCAAACACAAATTTCCTATATTTTGTGCTAAATTGAGTTTATGCAGTTTGTATGGGCATATTTAAGTTACTGTATGTCTGTAAAAGAAGTCACTTTGGCTTTTCGAAGGGTTGTCCCAGTTTGTRCTGGATTATTTTAACCATTACACTTTGTGACTTAAATTTTCAGGACCCAGGGGTAGGGTTAGGATTAACACTAGGAAAATGGGATTTTGTCTCTGACTCAGTCTCCTGCAGGGAAAACAAACAAACAAAAAAAAAATTAACACAACCACATTTCTATCTCACTGCCAGCGTTCGCTCCCATCCCGTTTGGAGGGCTCTATTTGCCCCTGGAAGTGCCTCCGAGCCGCTGTCACTGCTCCCCTCTGGTCCTGGCCTACGATCAGGCTCACTTCTCCGCACTGGTGTCCATGGAGCAGAGAGATCAGCAGCGAGAGCAAGGTAAGCCTCTTCAGGTCCACCTCGTTCCTACATGCCTACAAAAATCCAAACTTTCAAAGACAGCGACTTTTAATTTAGGTCAAGCGGGAGTAGAGAGCTGAGGCAAGAGGTCTGCCTGTCCTGCCTGAGGTGAATAATGTATGAGACRGTGGTTTAACTACATGTGATCCATTATTAAAACAGGCATCAACAAGGGAGTGGACAACATAGAGGGAAGAAGACTTCATCCTGACTTGTTAAAAGTTGTTAAAACTTTTCAAGCTTGCAAACCTGCTGTGTATTTCTGATCTTAAGTCCCTGTCATGACTTTAGCTGTGATATGGAGCTCTGCAGAGCGTATTGATTGCGTTAAGCTGCGGCAGGGGAAGTGCAGATTTTCCGTTGTGCTGGGCGACTCTTGTTTTCRTCTTGTTTTGCCCATTCAGATGCCAGTGCTCCCACTCCGGATGCATTGCTTATTCTCGAGGTCGGAGCATTCCTCGCACGGAGTTCCTTTAATTGACAAATAGAGTGGATCTCCCTGACAACTGGCCTCAGCAGTCACGGCACTTTTTCTGCGCCTGRCTCTGTGGGAGGAACTCGCTTGTCATTTGCGTGGGTAGATGGCCAAATCTGTGTCTGTATTTCTTGCTCTCAAGTGCAGACGTGCTTACAATTTTTTTTTGTCTTCCTCTCCGTTCCCCCCACCCCCATTGTTCTTTTAAATTGCAACACTTGACCTAAAAGTCACTGATGAATGCCCTCGATAGCACGTTAAAGTTCTCCCCACCCCACAGTCCTGAGCACTTCGGTGGGTGTTCCACTTTGAAGGATGGGCTTCCTCCTCTCGTCCACCAGATGGTGCATAAGTCCAGCTAACCTGCACCGGCTCAGTCTCAACTCTCCTGCGTGGCTGTTGGGTTGTTTTTCCATCCTGGTACACTGTGTCCTCGTGTGATAATATCAGAAAGTCTGCAGTCTCTCCAGGATGTTATGAAAACACTTGTACCCTGAACGCGGTGCATTTGTATGTTATGAGATAACTCATTCTACGCAGCAGAGATACATATCTGTTCCACTCTTGGCCAACTTTTAATTGTGTCTGTAAATGCACGCTGTGTTACTGCATGAGATGTTCCGCAAAGTACCTTTTTCCCTCTAATATCTCAAATTACAAGGAGCAGATATGAGGTTCATGTCTCTGAACAGATGCCAGGCAGGCTTAATCTCCTCACTGCTAATTAGGGCAGAGTCGCCCCAGCCCACCCCCTAAGCCCCTCATCACATCACCGATTATGGGCAGGGTCCCGGGGCTGCTGGGGCCCCGGCTATCCAACAATCCCCCCAGACAGTCAGGCCACTGTGYGGATRTCTCAGGTGGARGTCGCTTTTTTTAGTTTCCTCCCCAGTCAGCAAAGAGCAGCTGAGGGTCCCGCGGCCTGGTGTGTGTTCAGGTGTCCGAGGCAGGCTTTGAATGCAGGCTCTTTCTTTGGCTCCTCTATAAGAAAGACTGTAGTAACGTCCTGCTCCTCATTCAATTCTTAATCAAACTGACAGGTTGTGTTTTTGCTCGTTTTATGGCATGTGGGGTTACAAAGAAGACACTGAAAGGACTGGTTGAAGGCATGGGTTATTGCTTTAAGATCAAAACTTTCTTTTASCTCAGTTTTTATGAGGACAACCCACAAGAGCTGTTAAGTTGGTTCTCAAGAGCATGGTAGTGAACCAGTGGTTCCGTGTGTGTTTTCCCGTCCAGCCCACTGCCACTYACCTGCTGTGTGATAATAACTTGCTCCTCAGTGGATGCTGCTCACAGTCTTTTATCTGCTTGTTTGTGTTTTTGTGGTCAAGCGATGTATGARAGGAATTGACCCTCTGGAAAACTCGTGAGCTATTTGAAGCTCTGGTCCCAAAAACAACCAAAACACTTCCAGGTTGTCTTTGGCATAGAGTCCCTTAATGTCTAACAACTGTCCGAATTGAGAAAAAGGTCTGAAGACCACCTACCTAAGAACGTGGTGTAACCATCAGCTTTTGGTCAGAAGTCACATCTTGATGTTTTGAATGGTCCCAGTGTTTACCCTCCATTTCAACTCTCACAGTAAAACTGTATCTTCTGATGATATTTTTTATGCATAAACAAGTCAAACTGTATAAAAACTGAAAAACCACAGCAGACAAGGTTACATATACTTTGTAAAAAGCTTTCTGTAGTACATCTCCACCAATGCTCCTCTTAGCTGTTAAGTTATAAGTCTAGCTAACCAGCTGTACCCACCATGCTGCATCAGGCAGTGCAATCGTGTGTGTTCCCTGCAAGCGTGTAAATTAGGAGTGATTAAGTTCCTTTAATAACAAGCGTCCTTAAGATTGTCTGAAGGGCCACAAATTGGCACAATTATCTTCCTGTGCGAACCGGGCATTATTTTTGCTGTTGCCTCTTGTTTTGAGCATTTCTGCTGACAATCGGGAGCCTGATTGGCTCCYGATTGTCAGCATCTGTGAGCATGAACCCTACTGTAGCACCAGCATTGTTGGCCATTTTGCAATGCAAGGCATCGCCTGGGCCAGCCTGGCTTCAAGCTTCTTAGTTCAATGTGATTGCATTAGTCCTTATGGCCCAGTTCCACCCCAATTTCTGAAACCCCAAGACCTGTGGTTCTATCCTGGCCAGGTTGCTCAGCCTGGTTTGACATCAGCTACTGCTGATCATTAGTTGGTTCACTGACCAGGGGGTTATGGCCACAACTAACTTTTTTTTTTCACATGGGTTTATCTCCACAATAACAGTAGTGAGCTATCAAATATCAACAAGCTAAGTTAGCTAACATTGGCTATCACTGACATACTATTTTTGTCACCCTGACCTTAAGTGTCATACTTCTGAACGGTTCTGTTCAATCTTCAGTATTTTCTCTTGAGCTTGTAGTAGTCTATTACTGTTGTGTCGCAAACAAAAAAAAAGTTTTGTTTTGTGTTTAATATTATTATCCCGCCCACATGAAGGTGGCTCTCTTCTCAATGCAAACACAACCAGAGCTGGGGTAGAGTAAGGCCAAACTGACTGGAGCAGCGGCGGACCGAGCCWAGCCTTAAAATGCAAAACCGCCTTGTGTGACCAAGCTGGTGAGCTGCATGAGGAAACGGTGCCGGTCCTGTTGTGGCTGTGTAAGGTTCTTCCACATGCAACCGAGGCCCCTGTAAAAATTCCAATATGTCGTGTTTATTCAAACTTTAATCATCTAATCCAATAAACACCAACAAACAAGAGTCAACAGCAGAATAAGCTGTTTGGCACTGGCAGAGGATGTTTGGCAAGTTTTTTATGGGCACAACCCACATACTCAACTCCGCTGCTCAACCCACAAATACACTTTCCTGACAAATGTGGCACAGTTTAAGGGGAAATAAACAGACTTTCTAACAATCATTCATTGCCAAGAAGTATTGTTACAACAAAAAAAGTTAACCAAGCACAAGATTTCTTACTTTTTGTGCTAAGTGTATTTGAACAAACTACATTAGTTGTTTTTCTTGTTTTGCATTGAGGAGTTAAATAAAAACTGCATACTTTTCATTAGTTAAAACCAGTGCACCAGATGAACTGGTATACTGCCCTGCACTAACTGAGGACTAAGCATCTCAGGTTTGTTTATACGCACAACTGCTGCTTACTATAGTGTTATTGGACTCTGAGAATCTGCAGCTGTGCAGTGATTAGTGTCAGGAATTTTAGATTTGTGTTTTCTTCTGTCAGTACAAATAGTTCTTGAATGTCGCAGCAGAAAAACACTGGTCAAGTGTTAGAAGCAAAGAGCTTTATTTTTGAAATGGGAAAAGTGAGTTGGGACAGATTTCGTTTTATCAAACAAGTTACCGGCATGTTTGAAATTGCTTTTTAACAATATAGTAACCATAAAGAAAATAGATAAGTGTTTATTTCTAGAAATACCTAATAGATCCTTTGAAAGCTTTCATTTCTTTCAGTTGTGGAACATTTCTAACCAGTTCTTCTGCAGAACTAATGCTYTATGTTGCCATGAAAAAAACTCACTAGCAATAATGACTCAACAGTTTTTTGCCAGTTTTTATTTTTAATTTTTAATTGTTTTACTTCAGCAACAGATTTATTTAGTATCAGTTGTTATAGTGTGTCTCTCCGGTCCTCTAATGTTTAATCTCTGTTTTGGGTTTCCCTTGTGCTCCAGTATGGAAAGATATACAGTATATATATATAAAGAAAGAAWTAAAACCATTGCACCAAACTCAGAAGCCCAGCTCTGATCAAGAGCTAAACATCTCAGGCTTGTTTTTCTGGTAAATTGAAGCTTGGGAAAATGTGTTTTGTTGGTAAACAATTTAAAAGAGACATATCCTGCTTTTAAATCCTTCTTTTTCACATCTAAATCATTCAATTGGGGTCTATATAAAGTAGAACTGCAATGCTTTGATCTGGATTCCTCCTTGCTGTAACTCCACAAGCCCCTCTTTCACCCCTTTTCTGAGGTGTGTCTCAGATCAACTAGTTTTGAGACTGTTCCTTTAAATCCAAATGAGGGAATTAACACCACTACATAGCAGCGTAGAAACATTTTATTTACAAATTAACTAAAAATATAAACAAGGGAAAACTTGTCCATTCGGTCTTACATGTCCAGAATCTGACCCAGAGCCAGAGGACAATGAAGACCACCAAATTGTAGTTAGTAAGTCCATAATTTATTTGGCAGTTCTGTCACAAATACAGTATATGAGCTTCAGCTCACAGGTTCCACCTTAGCTCACTCATCCTCCTCCTGTTYATCCCTCCCAAATCAGCACACAGTGAGGCAGGCTGCCATCTACGTACACAGCTTGCATACCACAGAACGCGATGATGTCATCCCACATGTAAGCTATGGGAATTGGCCGTTCAAAGACAAAAACACAAGGCTGCAGAGAGGAGTAGTAAATACATTACAGCTCGCTTCAGACTGGAATAACTGCGCATGCAGCACTCTGCAGTGACGTGAAGGGAGAGC